AAAAAAAAAAAAGCCCAATCACAAAACCCCCTCTTGAATAGAAAAATCACCAGCAATCTTACATTTAGTAGTCATTGGGAACAAGGTGTGGTAGTACATGCCTGCAATCTCAGCACTCTGGATGCTGAGGCAGGAGGATGGCTACAATTTCCAGGCCACCATGAAATATACAGCAAGACCCTATATTTAAAAAAAAACAAAACAAAACAAAACACTGAACAGTTCCTGGTCATTAAGTACAGTCTTCTGGAGAATGCTACCTTAGCACTGAAACCAAACTTGCACTAAAAACTATTCCACACTTGGCTACCAATATTTATTTTATTTTTTAATGCATTTGGTACAGGGTCTCACTACACAGCACGGACTCAGTGATCCTCCAGTTTCAGCCTCTCCAGCACTGGGATTACAGGTGTGTGCCACCACATTCAGACTCAGTGAGTGCCCTCCCCTATGTTTGCCTAAGTGCTTGCCTAAGCAGGCACTTAGCCTACTGAGCTATCTTGCTGGCTGGCTACCAATATTTAAAAGCCTCAAAAGGACTGACTGCAGGGTGTGGTGGATGTCTATAATCCCAGCACTTGGGAAGCTGAGGCAAGAAATTCTAGTCCAAGCTGGACTACACAGTGAGTTCAAGGCCAGTCTGAACAAAGTGAGACATTATCTCAAAAATCCTTTTTCTTTCTATGCCATTCATACACCCCAAACAACAACAAAAAAAAACCCTTCAGTATCTTTTGGTTTTTTTCTTTGTTTTTTGTTTTGTCTCGATGAGACAGGGTCTATGTTGTTCAGACTGACTTTGAGATCACTTTGTAAACCAGGCTAGCCCCAAATTCAAAGTGATCCTCCTGCCTCAGCCTCCATTGCTAGGATTACATGTGTGTGCCACCATGCCCAGCCTATAATCCATTTTGTAAAAGCTGTTTTCTGTTTATGTTTTTGGAAATTTGGTGGTGGTGGTATTGGGGACTGGACCCACAACCTTAATACTGAGCTACGTCCCAGGTCCTTTTACTTATTCTAATATAGATGCTGGTTGCTAAATTGCCTGAGCTAGGCCCAAACTCAAGGCTGTCTTCACTCAGCCTCTCAGAGTGCTACATTTTTTTAATGGGGGGGAGGGGTGGTGGTGCTGGAGAGAAAACTCAGGACCTTGCCCTTGCCTACAGGTGCCTATGCAGCTCAGCTATCTCCCCAGCCCCAGAGTGCTACTTCTAATAGGATAAACTGTCACAAGCAAGGCAACTATCACAGTATTATCTCTTTACTATTATTAAAGCTTAATTCTTCCCTACTTTGAAAAACCCTACCTCAATATAATATAAATTTCAAGAATGGAAGGCCAGCCTAATACCTCAGCAGACTAAAGCACCTGCTTAGGCAGAGCACAGCGGCCAACGTTCCATCTCCATCGTGCCCGGGCCTAAGACAGCCATTGAGACTGGGCGTGGTGGTGGCATGCCTGTAATCCCAGCCATTTGGAGGCTGAAAACAGGAAGATCATTAAGTATTTGATCTACATAGTGAGATCCTGTATCCCCTGTACTAAATGCATTTTTAAAAAAAAATTTCAAGAATGGGATAATTTTGTCTATGTTAACTTACATTCTCCCAGTTCCTGTATCAAAATATAGACAGGAACATGCACACCAAAAGAATCCAAAGTGAAGAGACAAGTCACTGTTTTGTTTTCTGAGCCTGGGTCTTTCTACTTAGTTTGGGTTGTCCTAGAACTCCCAGTGATACTCCTGACTCAGCCTCTTGAGTATACCACCACACCCAGTCAGAGACAACACTGTATGGGAAAAAAAATTTTACCAGGTATTTCTCAGAGAATACCTAGAATAAAAAACTCAAATAAATTAAATACATAAAATCAGACCCAGGGGCCAGGAATATAGCTCTGTGGCACAAGTGCCTGCCTGGCAAGTGCCAAGGTCATGAGTTGATTCCTGGTACAAAAAAATTAGACCCCTCCCAA